TGTGTCACTATATACTCTTATATATCATCCACTCACAGCGCCCCCGTGTGACAGAGTAAAACTGCCCACAAGGTTTCCTAGGCTGTCATCTATTGTGTTACTATATATTCATATATACTCTTATATAGCATCTACTCACAGTGCCCCCTGGTGTAACATGGTAGAACTGCCCTACAGGGTTTCTTAGACTGTCATCTATTATGTCACTATATACTCATATATACTTTTATGATCATCCACTCACAGTGCCTCCAAGTGACAGAGTAGAATTGCCCCACAGGATTTCCTAGGCTGTCATCTATGGTGTCACTATATACTCGTGTAGACTCCTATATGGGAGTCCTTGTGTGGCGCTATAGGACAGGCACTCAACCTCAATGTCAGTTTGAACTGCAAGGTCAGTGATTGAGACTCACTAGCTGCTCCTCAGAAACCCTATACAGGGTCGCTGTGAGTAGGAACTGACTCAACAGCCTTTGACAACAGCAACAACTCTTATATAGCATCAACTCATGGATCCCCCGTGTGGCCTGAGGGACAGGGTCTTCTGTCAAACCCAGGCACAGCAGAACAGAAGAGAGGTTAGGGAGTAAGGAAGTTTAAAGTGTGAAATGAAAATAAAGTCCCTATTGGTCCACTTGTTAAGAGGCCCTTAATGCTAAAAGCCTGACGTACCCAACGGAAGCCCACATCATGAACTGTGCGTGTAGAAATGGTTGAAATTGGGAGGGGGCTGTCTTTGCTGTGTATATCCCACCAAAATAAAAGCAAAAGTGGAGAGTGCACAGAGTGGACGCCCTCATGCTGCTGACCCAGGTTTGAATGGATTGAAACCACAGGAAGACCCCTGTTAACACTGCCATCCTCCTTCTTCCCAGCTTTGGGGAAGGGGACAGGGGAGTCTCCCCACCTCCATCGCCCTTCTTCTCGGCCATCCTCGCTGCCTTCCAGCCCACGGCCTGCGATGACGCTGAGGAGGCCTGGCGCAGCCACATCAACCAGCTCATGAGCGATTCGGATGGTTCCTGTGCCGTGTACACCTTTCATGTCTTCTCCTCCTTGTTCAAGGTACAGGGCTGGGCGGCTGCTGATTTCAGAAGGGGGTGCCGTTTGGTTCTGGGTTTGTTGCTTCTTCTACTCCAGGTGTTGTCAGATCCAACTCATGGCAACCCCCACGTACAGCAGAGCTAACCATTGTTCAAAGGTTGTTAGGAGACCTTCAGAAAAGGTTGAGATGGTGTCTCTTTGGCTGTGTGTGTTTCACCAAAACGAGAACAAAGCAAAGCCCTATGGAACTATTCCACTTTGTACCACATGGGGTCGCCATGAGCTGGACTCACTTATCGGTGACAGGTATATGTATGGATGTATGTGTGTATGAATGTGTGTGTGTATATACATATGTGTTTATATGCCAGGGGGCTTTAAAACATTCATGGAAAACTGGAATTGAAAGATAATGTAAAACAGAAAAACTATAGAAACAATCAACAAGACAAGAAGCTGGTTCTTTGAAAGAATTAATAAAATCGACAGACCATTGGCAAACCTAACAAAAGAAAAGAGAGAGAAGACACAAATAACACGCATTAGAAATCACATGGGTGATGTCACAACAGAACCAAAGGAAATCAAAAGGATAATAACA